AGTAATGTACACTTTGACTTTAGAAGAAGAACCTTTCATTTTTGGGCCAGACACTTCTTCATTGTAAAAATTAATCTCATGAAAGACTTTGTTACCCCCATGTAGTTGTAGGCTGGATTGCCTGCATTATTGTTAGGATTTTCAATTAGGAATTACTGTAGTCCTGCATGTGGCAATAGATGAGCACTTACCCTGTCATCCTGCATCGCCTTTTTGGTTCCTTTTTTATCTCTCATCAACACAAAAATGGGAAAGCTTTTTTCCCATAGCACTCACCAGCATCCAATAAAGGCTACTGCAGCCTTTCCTGTGCCATCATGGTTTTGTGGTTAGGTTTTGGATAGATTCTTTGTTCTGTCCTCTCTGCTACACTGAAAGTAGTTTGACATGCATTTGGGTGATTAACACGTATCGTGTAATTTTTACCATGGATATGTTGAGTTTGCATTAAGAAATACCTTGAGGCACTTCCATGCCTTAATGTCGAGGAACGGGACTGGGAGCTGGCTAGGGTAATCAAGGCTGATGAAAGCCACACCTAAAAAAAATCATTCTATTTGGCATTAATCAGAATGATAGACTGGTTTGGGTTGAAAGGAACCTCAAAGATCATCCAGTCCAAATATCTTCCGCCAGACCAGGTTGCTCAAAGCCCCATCCAACCTGAACACTCCCAGGGATGGGGCATCCACAGCTTCTCTGGGAAACCTGTTCCAGGGCCTCTCCACCCTGACAGGAAAGAATTCTTTCCTAGTATTTAAGGAGTCAGGATTACCCAGGGGTTAAAATTCTGAAATATTCTGGATCTGGATGCAAAGTGATTGCTTTCTGCTAGGGGTCTTCTTGCTGTTCACCTGCTGGTTACCATTGACCTTAGTTCTTTTGGGGTGGTAAACACAGGGGAAATCTGCCTTGGATGGCTTTGAGGCTGGCTGATATTTTGGCCATTAAACTTTGTTTGACTAGCTGTTGCATTCCTGACCATGCTAAATTATACACATTATTTAGACAGACAATGCAGTGTGCAAGGCAAGGATGAAATTCAAGAGTAGCTGGAGGGTGCTTCTATTCTTTGGAAGTAAAAAGCAAAGACAAATCCTTAATGGCTGCTCAGAGTGAGCTCCAGAGGATTAATTTTGTCCCCTTCCAGTCATAATTATCCATGTGGGTTTCAGGCAGGAGGGATTTAAAAAGGCTAATACCTGTCTTGTCTGATAAAATTTGTACTTCAACAATTGTTGTGGTCTCCTACGCAGTTAGGTGAAGGCAACTGTTCTTTATCTAAAAGTTGTCTATCTAATTTGAGTATAATTTAAGCAAAGTGAAATACCTTTCTGAGAAAACCCAACAATGTGCATTTTTCTCCATATCTGCCCAGACATCATTGGTTTTATGGAAACTTTCAGTAATCCAATCCCAAAACTTATAGCCATTCTTCTATAAAATTCTTATCTAATTATTATGAGAATATATACAGAGCTTCATTAAAAACACAGAAAAGAGCAAGCAAGGAAGATCCTTAATGATCTTGATACAGAAAGAAAGATGTACAGGAATATAAGACAGAAATGCAGGAGGTATAGTTCCTGTTCTAACAAAATTACTTCGTTGATGCTGAAAGAAAATGTCCTTTCTGCTAGGCTTTCACCTCAGCATAAAAACTTATAGAAAATGCATGGAAAGAGGTGCCATAATGTAGAGGAAAGAGGTTTATGAAAGAGCAGAGGAGAGCCCAGGCAGCTCATAGTAACCATGCAGGAGCGGGTGGAAGCTGGAGACTCAAGTGGTTAGAGAGAAGTCACTGCAATGATAAAAGAAAGAGGTGGATAATGCCAACAGCTTGAAAATGTAATGCTGGCATGAGGATGAATTTACACACACCTGGAAACTGAAGGGACTTTCTTAGGACTGGAATAGGATAGAATAAGACAGAAGAGGAGAGAATGGAATGGAATAGAATATTCCAGTTGGAAGGAACCTACAACAAACATCTAGTCCAACAGTCTGACCACTTTGAGACTGGACAAAAATTTAAGTGTGTTTTTAAGTATATTGTCCAAATGCAATCACCCATTGCTGGAAAAGATGGGACGAAAGAAGCACCTGGGATTTGGTTGGTTTACTACAGGTCTGCCTTTCTTGAAAAGTTTTCCCTTTCCCCCCACAATTATTGATGGTTCAATAAAAGACAATTAATTGGCCTCCATCATTGGATGCTATTTCAAATTTCTTTCCTTGCTCAGAGTTGTCAGGAAGAGCTGTGTCTCTCATCTTCCCAACAGGCTCATTTTTGCATTGTTTTCCCAGCTGCTCCCATCCCCTGGCATTTAGTGTCAGCTAGGGATGCTGCAGAGTAACTGGGAAGTAAAACAGAGCTGAAGGACCACAGTGGTCATTAAGAAAAATAACAGCTTAGAGAATGCAGGCTGAAAAAATATAATTATAAAGCCATTTTCTATTCAAGCAAAGACAACTTCCAGTGCTGATAACATTATTTATCACTGGTGTAGCACTTCAGGCACAGTCACTAATTAATTCTTGTGACACATCTGTAAGTTTTGCCAGTGTATTGCTGTCTCCCCCTTTTACTGTGCAAGGAAACAAAGACATTAAGAACCCAAAGGAGTAAAGGTCAAGATGAGTGGTACAGCAGAGAGATGCTTAGTCCCAGCTCATCATTTTCATCACAGAGGACACTTTCTGTAGGATGGTAAAACCAATGCAGAGGGGATCCTTTACCCTTCCTGCCATAAGAACAAGCCTGTACAATATAAATCATGTGGAAAGGAGAAAAATAGCTCAGTATTGTTAGAGAAACTCATTGCACAAATGTAGTAAAGACCTTTTTTTAACTTGGTGCTCAAGTGACCCCCATACCCAGGGGAGTGGGCAGAGGACTGCTCTCAGCCTCCCAGGACAAAGCTCCCTTTGGGTTTTCAGCCATAAAGACAGCCTGCTCTGCCTGCAACCTGCCATGTAGTTTTATCCCTAATATTACCAGAGTGGAAATACTGCCAAAAATAGGCAAGAAGATTAGAGAGAAAAAAACAAAAGCACTTGAGAGCCTGTCTGAGAAGTCTGAAAGTTAGAGAGCACTGTCCCCCAGAATTAGCCTATTTCTTCTATTTAATAGGAGTAGAGGGAGTTGGTTCTTTCTCCATTCAATTTGTATGAAATTATTTCTTTTAATGGCAGAACTTAGATAGCAGAAGCAATGGAGATGCTAACTGGATCAGGGTGCTGGTTTAAGCTGGAGCCATCCAAGCAGGGACTTCTCACAAGGAATAAAATTATTACTGATCTCTTAAAACAGGGAGTTCATTGCTAGAACACCCTCATTTTGCAAGTTCTGTGTGCTGATAAATGACACAATGTAATGGAGTTCACACTGGTATCATCAAGACTACAAAAACTGCTGCAACACCCTGGGATTGCTACACAGCTGGTGTGATGCTGTCCCAGGACCTCATGTGAGGGATGCACAAGGGCAGCTAGAGGCTAGGGTGGGGCTTGAAGTTGCTCTTGACTCACATCCTTAGGAAGCTGCCTTCAGCATGAGATCTCTGGTTAACTCTAGATTTTATCACCATCAGCTCACTCCAGAGAGCCTCACTTGGAGGTCCCACTGCAGCACTGAGCTCTGCAGCCTCATTTTAAGGGTCTCCTTCAACATCTCATTGTTGCCCATCACTGAGTTTGTTTGAGCATGCTTTGTGTTGCTGTTTCAATACCCCAAGACTAGCAGATCCCAATTTCATCTTTTGTTCCTGGGTTCCTGAACTTTCTGATTTCTCTTTTAATCAGCTTTTCTGTGTCCCTGAATATTCTTATTGCTGAATCTTTTTTGATTAATTTGAAGCCTTTTTATGTGCCTTCCTGTTCATCTAACCATCCGTGCTCTGAAAGACATTTCTGCAGAAGCTGCCAATATTTCAATCCAAATTTACTTGCAAATTAAATAAAAATATGCTTGAAATAAATTACTCACAGTTTCTATTTTTTTCAATTGTACCCCTAAAGATCCAACAATACTAATTGGCTTGTAAGTACAGTTCTGATTTTACACTTGATACTTATGAATTTATGCCCTTTATCAGCTACCTTTTCTGTCTTTGTTAATTACTTTTTGCTTAAAGGAATTGTTTCATCTCTGGTTTTTGGCATGCCCTCTCCTTCCATTTGGAAGAAATTTCCTCCTTTTCCTATCTGGGCACATGCTGTGGAGTGAAAATATTACTCTATCCTTTGTATATTTCTGAGTGCTGGCCTGATTGGCAGGATTTCTCCTTCACTGATGGTGACAGTCATAGGCAAGGTGTGACCTGGAGCCAAGGAAAGCAGCCCCTGTAAATTGTAGTGCAACTTCTGTTTGTATGGAGATGCAGACAATGAGAGAGGGGAAATGCTGCCAAAACCAGGAAAGGAAACTGGGGAGAAGTCCAGAAACACTGTAGAGCCAGGTCCGGGTCTTAGAAGCAACAGAATTGACTCTCATTTGGCTTTTAGCCATTTGTGGCTATATAGACATAAGCCTTCTTCCTAAGCACCATTTAAAATTAATGACAGTGTATTTGTTAAAAATTGACCTGGGAAAGAAACCTATCATATTAACAAAACTCATCAGCACAGGCTTGAACAAATAAACCACAAACATTGCCCTCCTGCTCAGCCAGCCGGGCTATGTGCCGGTGCTTTTTCACTTGTTTCTACACAACAACAGTAAATGACTTTCTCTCCATGCTGCCAACCAGCCCCTTCAGCTGGTGCCAGCTGCGATCTCCCCCTGACCAGCAGCTGTTGTGCTGGAAACAACTGATCAAACTGCTCAGCTGAGCGCACTTGTTGTACGTGCTTAAATGCCACCCTGTTGCCAAGAGAAAAGCTCTTTACCTCGGGATTGCTAAGGAAGTCGGCAATCAGGGAACAACAAACACAACCCATCTCTCAGCACAACTTTTATGCTTGGATCTGATGCCCAACTAACATGGCACAGTACTTACTTCTGGTCCCAGTTTCTCCAGGAGATGATGAAAAAAATCGTCAAGCTCCTTCCCTTCTATGTAACCATTGTCTAAATAAAAAGCAAATGTATTAATGGTCAGGGGCACTGCCCGGGTTCCAGGAACTATGTCATGGGCTGCATGCAGGCAGCTCAAGGGTTCAGGGTCAGGATTTCAGCTGGGGGCCCTGCCTGCCCGCTCAGGGGAGCCCCACATCCTATTCAACTTCACCTGTTCCCTTCTGTGTGAGGGCCGGGCACAGCTGTGGTGCTGCCTTCGGGGTTTTCCTTACAGAAAACTTTTCAGAAACAAAAATAAACCCCCAAAGTGGAACCAAAAGAGATGGCAGCATATAAAACGGCGAAATGATGAAAAGGCAAAACTTTTGGGGTGAAAAGGGGGATTTACAGCTATGATATTCATGGTGAGGAGAAAGAGAGGGGCTTGAAAACACCTGCAGGACTTCGCGGGGGTAAAACGCGGACATGTCGGCCCCATGTGCAGCATCCCAGGCTCCCACCCACCCTGACGGGCACCCATCCCGGCGGTCCCCTCTGCCCGGAGAGAGCCCTGCATGGCACCCAGCGGGGCCGGCACCCACGCACCCCTCAGCCGGCTCCCCCCACGCGTGTCCNGGCGTCCAGGCGCCCGTCGGCTCCGCTCTCCATGGTGCTGCTGCCGGACCAAGCCCTCAGCCTCGCCCTCAGCCTCGCCCTCAACCTCACTCGGCAGCGCAGCCTCTGCCCCGGCCCCGCCGCCGGGCCCGGCTTTCAGGGCGGCGGCTCCGCCCCGGGGGCGGCCCCACGGGGGTCGCGGGGGGAAGTCTCCCCCTTCCCAGGGCTCGTCCCACCGACCTCCCGGATCCCTCTCGGGTGTGAGTTGCGGCAGGACGGAGCTCAGCCATCGAGGTGGGCTGGTGCGGCCCGACCCCACAGTCCCCGCTTCGGAAGAGCCGTGCGCCGCTTGCAAACAACCTTTAAAGTTCAAACCTCTCCGAACGAAGGCTGAAGTGAAATGTGAGGCTTCAGAGAAGTAGTGGAGTTTCAGGGGAGAAAAAAGGGAGTTTTCTAAAGCTTGTAACTCTCCTGCTCGGTTTATGAAAGCAGAGCAGCAGCAAGGAGAGTTCTCTCACCTTCTCATTCCTCACAGCCATCACCGGAATGAAATGTCAGAGGACGAAGACGGACAGAAACCTGCATCGTCCTCCTCCTGTCATACTAATCAATCGGAGAAACCATAGGGTTAAAAGTCTCTGTGCTGATAGAACATTATATTCATGATGGCCCTGCTTGGGAGTAGATTTGATTTGAATGTCACCAATGTGACATTCACCTGCAGTGATTTCAGGCACCTGGGACTGAGCTGGTCTCCGTGTGTGCTGCTAGAATCATTACCTCCTTTGGGACCCTTAAAAACAGTTTTTTCTAGATTGCCTTTGATTCAATATATACATATTTCTGTTTTATTCACATAATGATTGCTTTAGAGAGGCTCTCAGAAGCAGCAAAAAAGGCCCTTAAAAAGTATTTAATGTCTGCCATGAGAAGGTTCCTATTTGATCTGAGGCGGGGGAAAAAACCCTGAAGAACTGACTTCTTTTTACTCAGGAAATTTCTTTCAGGGAGATCACAACAGAGATCATACAGCAATATCCAGCTTTTCCAGTGTGCTAAGAAAAATGAGATACTGTAAAGCGAATGTGTTTGAACAGTAGCATGGGAGCATCTCAGTACAGGTATTCCTTGGACAGCAGCCTGGGATCATCTTTAGACCTCAGAAAAACTATCATCAAGATCTTAATGCAACAGCAAGGCCACAAAGCACTCCCTGACCATGCTCAGGTGGGGAACCCCAGCATGGGAGAGGAACTCATTAGGTAATGACATGGCAAAGTCTAAATTTGTAGGGGACACCTGCCCAAGTCCCTTGCAGGCAAGACCAGAGTCACTCCACAGGTTTCTCTATCATCTGTCTTTACCTCATTGCCAAAAGTCCTTGCCTCAGGTTGAGGGCTCCCTCATGGAACCCCTCCTTCAGTCTCTTCTTCCCAGTGTTTCCCACTGTGGCTCCCTGGCAGTAGTGGCTTAATGTGACCCATGGGAGCTGCCTGATCTCCTGTGTGGGATGAAGTCACTTGGCACTGCACTATGGCATGAAGGTCACTTTTTGGCCCCATCTCTCTTCCCAGGACCTAAAACCTATCTGCCCCAGACAGGGAATATATTGATCCAGGATTTTTAGGAAAGAGATGTTCATCAGTTTCATGATGAACATAAATATGATCAGTTTCTTCTTTCCAAAGACATGGTTTGCAACCTGTCTTTGGAAACCACCACCATGGCTGATAACCAACAAGGTCCCCTGGTATTACAATTGTGACAACTGGTTTCTTTCTAAAAAATACCTTTAACAAAACTAACTTAAGAGGAAACACTATCTATGTTTTGAAATATTTTACACATGAAAGCACCCTGCCATTTGGCAGGGATGGAGATAGCAAGATTTTATAGGATAGGATGCAAAGCTCAGGACATTGAGAAAAGCTTCTCATAGCTGGTTCTCCCCCATGTTTTCACAGGAGGAAGAACAGGCAAGAAGTGACACCTTGTTTAAACTACCTGTATTTATCTAGCATCTCACACAACTCCAGTGAAACCAGGTCCCGTCTGGAGAGAAAAAAAAGGACCCTCAAGCTTAAAGGGCTCTCACAAGAGCAACACGTTACTTGTGCATGAGGATATGTGTCCGTCCATCTGAGCATCCTTGTCATCCCAGGGCACTCTCAGTGCTGGCAGAGTGAGATTTTGATTTCACACAGCAGACTGCGTGAAATGAAAAGCAAAGAGGGAAAAAGGAGTAGAGATGATGGATTCCTCTTCTGTTTGCACCAGCTATGCCTTTCCTCTCCCCACAAAACCCTCTACTGAAATACCCTATAGATACAGGGGCCACCCCATAGATGCACAGCTTAGCTGCTCTGCCCTGCCTCAAGTATTGCACAAAATGGATGTAGGGGTGGAATTGCAAAATTTAGCTCAAAGTGACTGGAACCAGGTAAATCCCAGCCTGCAGAGAGGATGTGGCCATCCTGCTGTATGCCTCAAAAGGGTTCAGCTTCTCCAGTTGCTTTAGGTGACTCAGTAAAGCCTGGATGAGAAGAAAAACAAACTAAACAAAAAACAGCTCAGAACAATTTTTACTTATCCAGCTGGACTTTCTGTGGAACACTGTAAGTTTGAGGAGCATATTGAACTGTGGACCTATTGGCATTAGCATTAAAGCAACACACTGAAGATAGCTGCTGTGTGTCCAGCTCATGTACCAAACTGAGCAAGCACTCTGCCTTGGCTTATTTACTCAGAGGAATAAATGACAGTTAGAGGCAGGCAGTATTTTAAAAGGTAATGAACACTTTTGATTAAGGACTTTGGCTTCAGCTTTGCACTGTGCAGTAAAGTTCAAGGCTGAAGAGCTCAAATCTGTGTTTTGAAAAGCTTAAAAAAAAAAAGCAAATGTATTCACCCTGTCCAGAGATGCACTTGGCTCTTAAATGAATGTCCTTCAGTAGAACCCTTGAGGCTGGAAACTATTGCACAACCATTGCCTGATCCTGCTGTGGGTCAAGGAACCCTCCAGCTGAGGACACCAGCAATGCTGTTTTATTTAATTGATATTGATAATAAATTAATAAATGCCAATTATTGTCAAGTAAGCAGCAAAATAAGGAGCTTGTGGCCAAACCCCAGCCTTGGCTAGTTTTGTAGAAAGGTTTAATGAGGCAACTGTAAATGGGAAAACATGGATTAAAGTGCAGATTGCTGATCTGGAAACAAAAATAAGGGGCAGCTGACAAATGTCTCATTCTTTGGGCCAGACTCAAAGTATTAATGTGAAATGAAACATTTGGGTTCCTGTGAATAGACTAGAGAACAAAAAAACAAATGAAATGTTTGGATTTGTAGTATGATTTTGCTCCTTGCCTTTACAGAAGAAAATTCCAAATACATGCAGACACAGTTAAATGGAAATAATTTTCCTCATCAAATGGCTTCAGCTTCCCTCAGCTTTGCACTGACCAGAGACACTGAGGAAGCCAACACCAGCCATCAGCATTTCATCCTTCACTGAGAAGGTGTTTCACAGGTGGTTTGGATCCTGCATGGGTCCTGCAGAAAGCCCTAGCCCAGATCCTTGGTGTGCCCCATTTTCCTCAGACCCAGATTTTCATCAGAGCAGTGGGAGGTGGGTGTGCTGGCTGAGCTGCTGTGCACAGCTGGGGCTGCCGAGGGTGGGATGATGTGCTCCTGCCCAGCAAGGGGTCTATGAGCATCCCAGCAAAGGAAAATTCTGTAAAAGCAATGAAAAGCAAACTGAAAGGAAATAGAAACAGAAATAATATAGTCAGTGAAGACCCTTACCATTCCTACCATTTCTTGGAAATCAAGTCAGAGATGAAGCTGTCTGCTGCAGAAAAGACTCTTCTTTCCAACCTACCCTCAGATGGGTACAAGCTGCTTGTTAGCAGTAGACCCCCACCTTCCAACAAGGATGCCCTTCTCTTGCCCCTCCTTCCATCCCACCCCCTCCCTCTACCCAGAAAATCCCACATTCCTGTGCTGGGCTAGATCCTGAATCCATCTTTCTGGCTCAGGTGGTGCAGGGTGTGTGGGTTCAAGGTGCAAATAAGTGCAATGACAGTTCAGGTCAGGAACTGATGGATGTGGTGTGACACAAAGACTACCATCCCACAGACATTTTCATCCACAGATTCCATTAAGGCCAAGTTTCTCCAACCTTCCCAGCCAGCCCTCCAAGCTGTGAGGCTTCAGTCTTCTTCATTTTGAACCAGCAATGAGATCCCTTGAGTGTTAAGCAGACAACCTCTTTCCACAAGGATTCCACTGAAATGAGGAGTCAGGACTCAGGCCATCAGAATGGATCTGAGATTTCCCAGAAGAAAAGCTGGTATGTCCCCCAGCTACATGCTATTCAATGCTACCCAGGGGCTGCAGTCTCATGACTTTCATTATTTCAGTCTTTGGCTAGAATTTAATGTTGTCCAAATCATCTGGGCTGTACAGCCTCCAGAGCACTCTCCTCTACCCTCTGCTGGGTCTTACCTACCTGAGCAAATGGGAAGGGAAGGAGGCATTCCTGAAACGATGCTAAACAGAGATTACAGAGTTAACTTGACTCCTCCATTCAGTGAAACCAAATTGGATTTGCCAAGCTAGCAGCCCCTCTCCTGCCTTCCCTGGCTGGTATAAATCTAATTAAATGCTCTTTCTCCCATGCAGCTTTTTTCTTCTCAGTTCAACTTACCGGAAAAGCAGAAAGAACAGGTTCTGAAGGATTGGATTCAGGGTCAGCTGGCAGAACTCATCATAAACTGCCAAAGCAGCATCAGGACAGAGGCATCAGAGCAAAAACCTCAACACACAGCTGGGAGGGACCATGGCAGCATATCTGCTTCTCCATGCATGCTTCCCAAACATGAGCATTTGGAACCTGCATGTAATAAATCCCTAGGGCAGCTGATG